GAATAGTATCAGGAAGGGTAAAATATCAAGTGAACTAAGATATGAAGAAATACTGACAACAAGAAGTAAATTTTACTTAGCTATATTCAGAATAAAAATATATCAAATAATGTTAATTTGTTCTGCTGGGATTTTTTTAAAAAATGCTGATGGATGACAAGGAGCAGAATCCTTCAGCTGTTATGTTGCTTCTGTCTTTTCTATCAAATAGTTTTCTTCTGGTTACACACGGGAGAATAAATATTGGTTAAGAAATGACAGAAGTCAGAATGAGTTATCTTCAGTGCCAGACATATATCTCCAGTAAGAAAAGAATTTACATAATGGATCACAAAACCATTGACACTAATCTTTTAAGAATTCAAGGAAGTGACTCTTCTCCTTGCTAAATGCCTAACTTGTCAGTTAAGACTTTATCATTATTATGATCATAATTTAAGGATCAGTTCCTTCAAGAAAACGTACCCTGAGATTCCAGGCTGGATTACATCCCCTTCTCTGAGCAACCAGAACAATTTGTGCATATCATTTATCACTCAATCTCTTATTGTAATGAACTGTATGAATCTTACTACACTTTGATACCTACTTAAATGATGAGTAGCTAATGTAGTTGAGAGGGAGAATTATGTTTCAGGCAGAGAAGACAGCATGAGCAAAAAAGTGAGAAGACTGATGTTTTTTGAGGCTACAAGAAGAAGTGTACAGGGAAAGGCAGAGAATGGCAAGAGATAAAATTGGAGAGGTAGTTAGGGGCCAGTTCTTTGGGAGTCTTGTACATCATGTTAGGGAACTTGGTTTCTCTGTTGCAGTAGTGGTTGTCAAAAAAAAATTTTTTTTTTAAGATAACAGACCATTATTGAAAGAAAAACTGTACAGGGAAGCTATTCAGGATGAATAAATGTTGGATGGTCTAGGTCCCAAGTGTTTGGCATCCCACCAACTCTCCCTATAGTTCCCAGTGTGGTGAGTTGAAAAGTGTAGTCTGCAGATCACCAGCATCAGAAGTATTTATGGTATCTTATAAAAATGCAGATTTTGGGGTTGACAAACATGAACTCAAAATCTGAAGCTGAGGTTATCATAAGCTCTCCAGATAATTCTAAAAATTTAAAACCGGACATTCTGTAAGTCAGCTGGCCCACAGTCTTCAAAAATGCCAGTGCTGTGAATGACAAAGAAAGGCTGAGCAGCTGAAGGGATATAGCAATTAAATGCAATTCATGAACCCGAATCATCAGGGAGAAGTTTTGCTCTAAAGGACATTAATGGTACATCTGGCAAAATTTAAGTACAGTATGTTAGAAAATAGTTTTGTATCAAAGTTGAATTTGCTGATTTTAATGTAAGGAAATGTTCTTGTTCTTGGAAAATATATGCTGAAGTTTAGGGATAAAGCACGATGTCTACAAAAAAAAAAGGATTGGGGAAAAATATACCTACATAGGTAGGGAGGTAAATAGGTATAGTTCTTTGTACTATTCTTGAAGTTATTTCAAGATTAAAAGTTAAAAAAAATTTAAAAGAGAAGGCCTAAAACAAATTTAAGTCTCAGGTCTGTACCAACTTCAACCACTGATGGAAAAGTGGGAATTACTGAAAGTCTTCAGGTAGTGGTATAACATAATCAGACTTGTGTTTTTGATAAATTGCTTTTATAGTAGTATGAAAGGTGGAATTAGGATTACAGTACTGGTAGCAAGGAGACCAATTAGAAATCAAATTGCTTCTGCTTAATAGGTGGTAAGAGTCTGAAAAGAATGATGGTAGTTAAGATGGAGAAAAAAGGGACTGTGAGGTAAAATCAGCTGGATTCAGTGGCTGTCTGAATATGAGGGTGGAAGTGAAAGAAGAAAAAAGATAACTATCAGGTTTCTAGCTTGGCTGCTTATGTAGACAGTACCACCAAAGTTATAGTGAATGCAGAAAGGCCAGTATCTAGTGTGGGATCAGCAGAATTTTAATGTGGATATGTGGGACATCTACGTGAAGATATATAGCAGACAGTTAAATATAAGAGGCTGACGCTTTGACAAGAGGTCAGATGTATGTATGGATATGTATTTATATATGTATACACACACGTGTATATGGCACAACAATAGGACATAATTGAGATCAAGAGTTCATGAAAGGCTGAATCTAAGACTTAGTTTAACTAACAGGAATAAATTTTAAGCTCACTATACTGAACCAAAATACCAAACCAAAACTGAAGAAGTAGGGAATGGAGAAGACATAAGTTAGCAGTGGCACTATGAAAATAAAGCTTTATAGGTTTAAGTATATATAAATCCAGTTCGTCAATATTTTAGGATAATTTTCAAAAGAATGTATGTAATCTTAGACTGCATTAATGGAAATCTAGTAACTAGAAAGAAACAAATGAGAATGATGATTTATTGTACATAGTCAGCCCTCAATATCTGCAGGTTCCACATCTGTGGATTCAACCAGCTATGGATCAAAAATATTTGGAAAAAAATTCCAGAAAGTTCCAAAAAGCAAAACTTGAATTTGCTGTGCACTAGCAACTATTTACATAGCATTTACATTGTATTAGGTATTACAAGTAATCTAGAGATGATTTAAAATATACTGAAGGATGTGAATAGGTTATATGCAAACTACATCATTTTATATAAAGGACTTGAGCATCCTCAGATTTTGTTTTCTGTGGGGTTTCTGGGACCAGTTCCCCACAGACACCAAGAGATGGCTATCCTAAATAGATAATATTTTTAGTACTGTGTTCAGTTTCATTCAAGCTTGAATACTGATAGAAAAGAGTAAAAAGAGTAAAATATTATAGTAAAGGGCCTTAAATCATATTATGGATGGTTGAAAGAAATGGAACGAATGTTTCAGGGAAATAAATGATAACTTTTAAAAATACTTATGATCTGTCATGTGGAAGAGGTATTAAATTTGTTCTTATTATTTCAAGGAGAATTAGGGAAAATGAGTCAGTCAGAATGTTTGCCTTTAAGGTTTCTTCACTCTTTTTTGTTTTGTGTTACTAAAGAGGTAAAAAAAATTTACAGGGACATATGCTTTTAACTCAGCGTAAAAAGAACATTGCTCCCTAGCAGTGGAATGAACGGACCGCAATTTGGTAAACTACGTGTCACTAAGCGTAGTCAACCAGAGGTTGGATGAGCCTGGCTCCTGTTGTAAGGAGGAGATGAGAGTAGAGTACTCTCTCTGCGTTAAAATTCAGTGAGATGGGAGTGAAAAGATGAGACACTGAGGTGAATTTTTTTTTCTGATCGGGTAAAATTATAAGAAATCAAATTGACATACAATGAAGTTCTACTTTCTTCTCTTACATATTTCTAGAGTTAGAGAGAAAAATAAAAATTTGAGATTCAGAATTTCTGGGAAGGTGAATATTTTCCTTGGCTATCCAATTTGAAGATAATCTTCTAGTTTCTTATGAGTGTGACTCTTGATCAGATACATATTACTAAGTAGTTCACATCCAGATGATAGATGGCCATTCATTACTGTCTATATTCCAATATTACAAATCTTGATTAGGGAACTGTCTTCTGAAATAATTAAATATACAATCATCTGATACATTTGTTCTTATGTCTAGAAAAGATGGTAAAAGTTCATTAGTAGCATGAAAATAGTTCACTGACTTACATTTCATATTTTTATCTTTTTCTCAATGATAACTGCTGACAGATAATATCTAAATAGCAGCCTAGCTCAATGAAATTAATACAAACAGTTCTCAAATCTTACGAATTTTTGTTGCATTTTTGCTATTTATAGTAAAGTCTAAAAATATTCCAACTCTTTGTGTCAGCAATTCCTTTCTAGGAATCTATTATAAATAAATAATTAAGCATATACACAAATAGGGAGTTAAAAGGTCTTCATTGTTGTTTATAATAGAAAAAAGTGAACAAAATAAAAATTTAATAAGGGGGTGGCTAAATTAAACTAAGGTTCACTAATACAATGGAATACTTTGCCACCATTTATTAACGTGTAAAGAAATCAATAACATACTGTAATTTCAAATAGAAACATAGGTTGCAAAAGTCTGAAGATTCTGTGATTAACATGGCATACATGTATGTAGAAAGAAGTCTTAAATATTCTAAAATGTGTTCTTTATTTTTGACATTAAATTTAACAGAGGAATATATAAGAATTACATATAGAAAGTTACTGCTTGGCTGATCACTGTAAGAAAGAATAATTAATTTACAGTTCAAGTGATTTAACCATCTTAATTATAAAATTCTCTCCTTGGTGCGGTTCATACCTCCATTTCTATTTTTAATTAGCCTGCTATATCATAAACTAAATGTATATATATTTATATATAATTTTAATTATGTAACCTGAAATCCTTTTTGAAAATACATGTGGTATAAATGCATACAAAAATACATCTACACATAAAATTAAAGAATTATTTTAGAAAAAATTAAAATGTTTAAATTATATGAATATGTTCAAAGGACCTCACATGAACATAATGAGATTAAAAATTAAGAAAAAACAGAAATGTTAGAGTCAGAAATTTATATCAGACTTATCAGATTCCTGTAGAAGCATATGAATAGTCCAAAATTTAATTTCTCTCCTGAGCGCATCCTTTATTAAGTTATGAAACAAAAGGACCAAGATGGCTTTTAAAACATAAAATCCCTATATTCTGTTCTGAGAAGAAAAACCTTTCAAATCAGGATATCTCTCAAGTACGTGGACCACTCAACCCAGCCCTCCCATGTAACTGACCGCTCCTTTCTCTGTGCTCCCTGGGGACCCTGTCCAGACTTCTGCATTTCACCTGTAACACTGCACTTGCTTACCTGTCTGTCTCCACTTATTAAAAGATGAACTCATGAGGGTAAGAAATGATCCAGTACACTTCTTAATATCCCTAGCACAAGGCACAGTGATGGCCTCAAAGTTGCAGTACAAAAAAGTGTTTGTTGAGGAAATGAATTCTTTTGAGTGGGTAGACAGAACATTACCTTCCACATCAGCATTTGATTCTTTGTGTCTTTGAACTAAATGTCCTTTATCGCAAACCTAATGGAACAGAACCAGAGGGAAAACAATAGTATATTATAAACATGAAAATGAGATATGTTTCCTATATGATTTAAGGTATAGTAATTTTCAACATTTCTCATTTTATCCTCATAGATTTAGAATGGACAAAAATAATCTTTTAAATCAGAACCTTCTAACATCTTTTACATTACTTTTCTTCTACAGCAGTGATAGAAGAAAATACTAATACTATATTTTGGTATTAAAGGGAATTCAATTTATTTCATATAAAACTTATGATGAGAAAAAGACAAAATAGTGTATGCTTATAATATCATTTACTTAATGAGAAGAATAAAGATGTAGGAAGGTAAGTGTGAAATTAGTGAAAACATAAAATTGTATGAAAATGTATAAGTGATTATAAAACTGCTTATATAGGAAAGGTGAAAAATATTTTCTTCTGGCCTGTAAAAAGATTGAGTAAGAAATATCATACATATGACATTGCTGTCTGTCTTCAAAGGAGGTACCTTGTCAATATGTCCCAGTTGGACTAAAAGAGACACAAAACAACTATAGAGAATTGTGACCGCTAGTCTTGAGTAGTATAAAAACCACTATGTGATCATGAAGACATTTTAAATGCTTCCAGACTTTTGCTTCTGCATCTGTGCTATGTGGATATTATTAAGAATTTTCCAACAGGGCCTGAGAAAAGACATGAAAATGTTTTTGCCAAGATGTAATGCATATCAACTAATGATAAAAAGTGGACTATGAAATAGAGTTAAAAGCTAAAATCCTCTTCTTGGCAGATAAAATTGAATGGCAGTAATTTTTTGACATATTTAGCATGAAAATGGGAGGAAGATGTAAAAATAAAAAATTACTGAAGGGAGAGAGAAAAGGAAATACTCTAGAAAAATTATATGAAATTGAAAGTAGCAATATTATATAATCACTATAAAGAATTTGGAGAGATGGGACAAAATTAGACTGAAGAAAATTCACTTGTAATAAGACTCAATTTGAACTTTTTTTTAAATTGAAGTATAGTCAATTTACAATTGTGTCATGTCACAGTTGAAATTGTGTCAATTTTTGGTGTACAGCATAATGTTTCAGTCATACATATACATACATATATTCCTTTTCATATTTTTTCATTATAGGTTACAAGATACTGAATATAGTTCCCTGTGCTATACAGTAGAAACTTGCTGTTTATCTATTTTATATATAGTAGTAGTGTCTGCAAATCTTGAACTCCCAATGTATCCTTCTCTCCTCACCCCTTTTCCCCTGGTAACCTTGTTTGTTTTCTGTGTCTGAGTTTGTTTCTGTTTTGTAAATAAGTTCTTTTTCTTTTTGGATTCCACTTATGACTAATATCATATGGTATTTTTCTTTCTCTTTCTGGTTTACTTCACTTAGTATGACAATATCCAGGTCCATTGATGTTGCTGTAAATGGCATTATTTTATTCTTTTTTATGGCTGAGTAGTAGTCCACTGTATACATATACCACAATTTCTTTATCCAGTCACCTGTCGATGGACATTTAGGTTGTTTCTATGTCTTAGCTATTGTAAATAGTGCTGCTATGAACATTGGGGTGCATGTATCTTTTCAAATTAGGGTCCCCTCTGGATATAAGCCCAGGAGTGGGATTGCTGGATCATATGGTAAGTCTATTTTTAGTTTTTTTGAGGAATTTCCACACTGTTTTCCATAATGGCTGCACCAAACTACATTCCCACAAAGAGTGTAGGAGGATTCCGTTTTCTGCACAGCCTCTCCAGCATTTATTGTTTGTGGACTTTTTAATGATGGCCATTCTGACTGGTGTGAAGTGATACCTCATTGTAGTTTTAATTTGCATTTCTCTGAAATAGCGATATTGAGCATTTTTTCATGTGCCTATTGGCTATTTATGTCTTCACTGGAGAAGTGCTTGTTTAGGTCTTCTGCCCATTTTTGGACTGGGTTGTTTGTTTTTGTTATTAAGTTGTATGAGTTGTTTATATATTCTGGAAATTAAGCCTCTGTCAGTCACATCATTTACAAATATTTTCTCCCATTCCATAGGTTGTCTTTTTGTTTTGCTTATGGTTTCCTTTGTTATTCAAAAGCTTGTAAGTTTAATTAGGTCCCATTTGTTTATTTTTGCTTTCTTTCTATTGCCTGGGTAGACTGCTCTAGGAAAACATGGCTAAGATTTATGTCAGAAATGTTTTCCCTATGTTTCCTTTTAGGAAGTTTATAGTGCCTTAAGTCTTTAAGCTATTTTGAGTTTATTTTTGTGTAGGGTGTGAGGGAGTGTTCTAACTTCATTGATTTAGATGTGGCTGTCCAGTTTTCCCAACACCACTTGCTGAAGAGACTGTCTTTTCGCCATTGTATGTTCTTGCCTCCTTTGTCAAAGATCAATTGACTGTAAGTCTGAGTTTATTTCTGGGCTTTCCATTCTGTTCCATTGATCCATATATCTGTTTTTGTGCCAGTACCACCCTGTTTTGATTACTGTAGCTCTCCGTATTGTCTGAAGTCTGGGAGGGTTATTCCTCCAGCTTCCTTCTTTTTCTTCAGTATTGCTTTGGCAATTCTGGGTCTTTTTTGATTCCATATAAATTTTAGGATTATCTGTTCTAGTTCTGTGAAAAATGTCCTGGGTAATTTGATAGGGATTGCAATCTGTAGATTGATTTGGGTTCGATGAACTCTTAATGTCATTTTTATCCCTTTTCCTTTGATTGAAATAGTGCTGTGCACCATAATAAACTATTACATTTTTCTCATAGAAAATCACCAGGCCAGTGTTCTTATAAAGTAATCTATACATTCTAACCATAGTAACCTATAATTATTTATTTTTGCTTAAAGTCTTCAAAATTAATTACTCAGAGTATCCTGGTAGGAAGTAAAGTTAACTAAAATTCTTTAATATTAGTTTAGGGATATATGGATATCTTAACAATCATTTAGAGTAAGAGCAGGACTTTAAGTTGACCTCAGGTATCAACCTCAGTTAAGATGACACTGGGTGCATTTATGTTAACAAGTGTAATACCCTCTTCTTGTATTGCTCCGTTTATCATTATATAATGTCCTTTGCTTTAAAGCCTGTTTTGTCTGATACGAGTATTGCTCCTCCCGCGTTCTTGCCATTTCCATTTGCATGAAATATTCTTTTCCATCCCCTCACTTTCAATCTGTATGTCTTTCACCTTAAAGCAAGTCTTTTGTAAGCAGCATATTGTACTTTTTTTGTTTTGTTATCCAATTTGCCACTCTGTGTCTTCTGATGGGAGCATTTAGTCCATTGGCATTTAAAGTAATGATTGCTAGGTATGTATTTGTTGCCTTTTAAACCTTGTTTTCCAGTTGATTTAGTATTTCTTCTCTGTTCATTTCTTCTTTTGTTTTTCCTTTTTGTGCTTTGATGGTTTTCTTTTGTATTATGCTTGAGTTCCTTTTTTTTTTTTAATGAATCCATTGTATGTTTTTGATTTGTGGTTACCCTGGTTTTCAAGTATGTTAACCCATAACTATATCTACTTACTTTAAAACTGATAGTCATACAAGTTCAAACACATTCCAAAAGATCTACATTTTTATACTACCTTCTCCTATATTTTGTGATTTTTTTGATGTCCTATTTTCACATCTTCCTGCTTATCCTTTTACTGTTAATTTTAGTTATAATCACTTTTACAAATTTTTGATTATTTAATCTATGTACTGGCTTATTTCAGGGATCTTCAGTCCTTATATATTTGCCTTTCCTACTGTGATTTTCCCTTTCCTATAGATACCTGCTATTTAGAGAGACTTTTTTTTCATTTTTATTTTATTTTATTTTTTTTACATTTTTTTATTGATTCATAATCATTTTACAGTGTTGTGTCAAATTCCAGTGTTCAGCACAATTTTTCAGTCATTCATGGACATATACACACTCATCACATTTTTTTCTCTGTGATTTATCATAACATTTTGTGTATATTTCCCTGTGCTATATAGAGAGACATTTTTATTGATTCATAATCATTTTACAGTGTTGTGTCAAATTCCAGTGTTCAGTACAATTTTTCAGTCATACATGGACATATACACACTCATTGTCACATTTTTTTCTCTGTGATTTATCATAACATTTTGTGTATATTTCCCTGTGCTATATAGAGAGACATTTTTTATTTAGAGACCTTTCAATATTTCTTTTTTCAATATTGCTGTTAGCTTTTGCTTGTCTGAGAAATTCCTTCTCCTTCTATTCTGAATGATCATTTTGCTGGGCAGAGTGTCCCAGGATGCAGGGATACTTTTAGGACTTTGATATATCATGTCACTCCCTTCTGGCATACAAAGTTTCTGCAGAGAAATCAGCTGGTAGCCTTATGGGGGTTCCCTTGTAACTGACTGTTTTTCTCTTGCTGCCTTTAGAATCCACTCTTTTTTGCCATTTGAATTATGCTATGTCTTGGTGTGGGTCTGTCTGGGTTCATCTTGTTTGGGACCCTCTGTGCTTCCTATACCTGGCTATCTGTTTCCTTCTTTAGATTTCAGGAAGTTTTCAGCCATAATTTCTTCAAATGTATTTTTGATCCCCTTTTCTCTCTTGTTTCCATTTGGAACCCCTATTATGTGTAGGTTGGCATGCTTCATATTATCCCATAGATCATTTGTCTTTCTGTCTGCTATTCATTGCTTCTAGAATGGTTTATATCTGGGCAACTGAGTTGTCTGATTTTGACTGGTTCCTCTTTATAGTTTCTAGTTCCTTGTTACAGTGATTTGCATTTCTATCAATAGTTCTTCTTAATTCCTTAAGCATTTTTTATTGAGATCTGTTTCATTATGTGTTCTTTCAGGGGATTTTTCTTATTCTTTTAATTTGGACTAGTTCCTCTGCTTTTTCATTTTACCTTCTCTGTCTCTAAATTTAGCACAGTCTTGAAGGGCTATTTTTATGTGGGAGCATCCCTGTGTAGGCTGTGTGTCCAATATTTTTGATGTGAGGGCTGTTTTGGGGATGCCAGCCATGTCTTTCCTCAGAGTATGCTGGCCATTATCCCCTTGATAGGGGGTGTGATTAACATTGTGGTGTCCAGAGCTTGTGCTGGATGTTGAGTGGGGCCTCTTCTTTGCTCTGTGACTGTTACAGCCCTGTTGGGGTGAGGTATGCTCTAGCTGTTGGAGTAGAAGCCCTGAGGGTTAAGTTTGATAAGCCTCTGTTGCTCTTAAGTGGATGCTCTGTCCCAAAGGAGGTGAGTGCTAAAGCAGGTGAGGCCTGTATGGTCACAGCAAACCTACGTGCCACTAGTGCGTGGACAGTGGGCTCCGAGCTTCAGCTCTGACCACACCCCAGGCCCTCTGGGCTGTCTCTGTGCAGCTTGACCGAATCCACTCCCTGGGAACATTCCCCCACCAATCCTGGCCTGGTGAGATTTGGTGCCTATCTGGCTGTGTCTACTAGCAGCTCTGCTCAGTGCATGTTTCATTCTGGGAAGTGTGGTAAAGTGGCAGCTGTCAGCCTTGGTCTCTCTCTGCCTTGACTGCTAGCAAGCCACCACATGCACACTCCTATGAGCCAAGTCCAGGCCCCTCCAGCAGGCAGGGGGGAGTCCCAGGGTGAGAGCTTGCCCGTGTGGACCCTCCCTCCTTCACAGATACCTCCCAGAAGAGCCTCCAGCCCTGATGCCTTTTCCCCCCCATCCTACTCAGTTTCATGGGGATCATTTTTGCAGCTTTGGTTGCATAGGAGGTCTTCTGCCAGTTTCCAGTTGGCTTTCGGTAAGAATTGCTCCCCATGCAGATGTATTTTTGATGTGTTTATGCTTGGAGGTGAGCGCCATGTCCTTTACTCTACCATCTAGATCCAGCTCCACAAAATTTCCAATGTCAGTGCCTGTGGAGCTGGAGGTGGGGACAATGGCACTCTTCTCTCAATGTTACTACAATTTGGGAGCTACGATGTAGGTGGGAAGAGGGCAGTAGTCTCAGGTGTTCTCCATCTGCCTCTTCTATTGTGGAACCCCCATTTTACAGGCCAACACAGGGGCAATTCGGGCCAAAATATTTTAAGTGATGTAGCACTCAAAGTAGAGCCTTATTTCAAAAATGGGGTCTGGGTAGAAGGAGGGAGCCCCCACTTCTTGGTTGCACTAAGCTGGAACTTAGCTTCAATAACAGGCATCTGGAGCCAGGATAAGGAATACTAAGGCCCAGCTGTCCTGGGAAGATAGCCCTCTGGTTTCTGTGGGGAGAGAGGACCTTGTGGTGTTGGCTGCACTCTTAGTTACATTGAGCTGGGAGGCAGGAGGGAGATCTGCTTCAAATACCACAGGCTCTCACTGATTTTTTTGTCATTTTTTTAAAACCAAATTTTAGTGTATTTTCATGAATAGGTATTTTTTCATTTGCTGTATGCCCTTAGGGCCATTTCCAAAAACTTATATTTTAAAATAATTTTCACCAGTTTTTGCTGGTGAGTGGGTTTGCAGAGCTCCTCATGCTGTCATGCTGGAAGGCAATCTCTCAGCACAATCTATTTTATACTCTTGTATTCCCATTAACTTTTATAAGTTTTAATTTTTTTCTTGCTACCAGGTAAGGTAAATAATAGTGAAATTTAAAGATAGCACCTTAATAAGACCTACTTCTCATCTGTTAAGGTTCTTTTATGTTTTTATAAACAGTAAATAATATGAGTAAAATTATAATCATTAACATTGCCTGGGGGAAAAATCAGGGTATTAGAGGAAATAACTTGCCATTTTCTTGTTTTTTTCCCAACAACTTTTAACAGCCATATCTATGAATATTTACCTCTTGCTCTTCTTCTCTGCTGTTTTGATGGCTTTCTACAGTAGAATTTCTTTCCTTTGTTTTCAGATGTTTTTCTTGTTTTTTATCTAGGTAAGAGAATCATATTTAAAATCAGTACTTAGTCAACATATCAAAGACAGTATATATGCAGACAAAGAAGTAACTTGAGACTTCCACTTCTAGGAAGATGAAGTACTTTTCCTATTCTCCCCACCAAGTATGACTAAAGACCCTGGGTATTATATACAAAATAAACACAAGAGGCTTTAAAAGATGAAAAGAAGGGAGACTGGTGAGGGACTTCAGGAACAGATGAGCAGAATGATGGTGAGTAGTTTCCTGTGTTTTCTTTTTGCCTCATATATCCCAGCCTTCGAGCTAGAGAAGCCAGCAGCCCAAAAATGCCAATGAGTGAAGAAATAATGCCTGAAAACTCCCTAAATTTGATGAAAGACATGAAGGTAAACATCAAAGAATCTCAATGAATTCCAAGTAAGATGAAATAAAAAACACACCAAGACACAGAATCAGACTTTCAAAGACAAAGGGAGGATCTTGAAAGAGTAAGAGAGAAGCAAATTGTTATATGCAAGGGGTCCTCAATAAAATCATTACTGTATTTCTCATCAGAAACTTTGGAAGCTAGAAGACAGTGCACTGATATATTGAAAGTGCTTAAAGAAAAAACAGCAGCAGGACTGTCCTTCAAAAGTTAGGGAGAAATTAAGACATTCTCATAAAAACGAAAGCTAAGGGAGTTCGTGACCACTTGACATGCCCTGCAAGAAATGCTCAAGGGAGTTCTGCAAGGTGAAATGAAAGGACACTAGACAGTAACTCGTAGCTATAGAGAAAAATAAATAAGGGTCTCAATGAAGGTAAATACACAGGAAATTATAAAAGCTAGTGTTACTATAACAATAGTTTCAAACTGAACTTTTTGTTTTCTACATGATTTAAGAGACTAATACATTTAACGAAAAAAAGCATTATTGTGAAAGCTAGTACTACTGTCACTCTGGTTTATAGTCCCAAATCTTATTTTCCACGTAAGTTGAGACTAATACGCTTAAAAAGAATTACTAGTTTGTGCTTTTGAGCACACAGTGTATAACTGTAATTTTGTGACACATACAATTGAAAGGGGTGGGGATGCAGCTATAAAGGAGCAGAGTTTTTGTATGTTATTGAAGTTGAGCTGGTCTAAATTCAAATTAGAGTTATAAATTTAGGGTATTAAATATAATCCCCACAGTTACATATATCCCAGCAAGAAAAGACCTACTGAATATACACAGAAAAGGAAATATGAAAGGAATTTAAACATTTCACCATGAAAATCAACTATACACAAAGGAAGACAGTAATGCAGGAAATGGACAAAAATACTATAAAGGCATATAGAAAACAGCACAGTAACAGAAGTCAGTCCCTTTTTTCCTTTCTTTTTTTTTAAATTGAAGTATAGTCAGTTTACAATGTTGTATCAATTTCTGGTGTACAGCATAATAGTTCAGTCATACTTATGCATACATATATTTGTTTTCATATTTTTTCATTATAGATTACTATAAGATATTGAATATAGTTCTCTGAGTTATACAGTAGGAACTTGTTTATCTTTTTTTTTAATCTATTTTATATATAGTAGTTAGTATCTGTAAATCTTGAACTCCCAACTTACCCCTTCCTACCCACTTCCCCCTTGGTAACCATAAGTTTGTTTTCTGTTTTGTAAGTAAGTTCATTTGTACTTTTTTCAGATTCCACATATAAGTAATATCATATGGTGTTTTACTTTCTCTTTCTGGCTTACTTCACTTAGAATGACAAAGTCTAGGTCCATCCACATTGCAGCAAATGGCATTATCATTTTACCCTATGATCCAGCAATGCCACTCCTGGGCATATATGCAGATGGAACTTTAATTCAAAAAGATACATGCAATCCAATGGTCACAAAAGCACTATTTACAATAGCTAAGACAAGGAAACAAATGAAATGTCCATCGACAGATGACTGGATAAAGAAGCTGTGGTATATTTATACAATGGAACACTACTCAGCCATAAAAAACAATAAAGTAAGTCTTTTTATCAGAAATTATTTTCATTGTATATGGACTGAACTCTCCAGTCAAAAGACAGAGATTGGCAGAATGGATAAAAACACATGATCCAGCTATATGCAGTCTATAAAAGACTCAACTGAGGTCAAAAGACACAAAATGGCTGAAAGTGAAACCAAAAGACAGCAGAAGTAACCAAAAGACAGCAGAAGTGGCTATATTAGACAAAATAGACTTTAAATTTTAAAATGTTTGTCATAGGAAGCAAGTAAAGGCAATATATGTTACTCAAAGACTCAATACACCAAGAAGACATAACTGTTACAAACATTTACACACCATATGATGCAAAAACTGATAACACTGATGGGAGAAATAGACATTTCTACAATAATAGTAAAAGACTTCACTACTCATTTGCAATAATAGTTGGACCAACCAGACAGAACATATGTAAGGAAAATGAGGACGTAACACAGTAAACCAGCTAGATCTAATAGACATATCAAACACCCTACCCAACAAGAACAGAATACACGTACGTCTCAAGTGCATATAGGACATTTTCCAGGACAGACCATATGTTAGGCCATAAATTAAGTCTTAATAGATTAAAAAACATAGGTATCACACACAGTATCATCTTTGACCACAGTGGAATGAAGTTAGAAATAAATGGAAAACAAATATTAAAAAAATTGTGGAAATTATATAACACACTTCTAAACAATCAGTGGATCAAACAAGAAGTCACAAGGGAAATTAGAAAATAGAGTTGAATGAACATAAAAGCAGAACACAGAAATTTGTGGGACACAGCAAAGGTGGTGCTAAGGTGGAAATTTTAAACTATAAACATTAAAAAAACAAGAAAGATCTCAAGTCAGTACCCTAACTTTAAAACTTAAGGAACTAGAAAAAGAAGCAAAAACTAGACCCAAAGTCAGCAGAAAGAAGGAAATAATAAAGATTAGAGCAGAGATAAGTGAAATAGAAAATAGAAAAATACAGAAAATCAATGAAACCAAAAGTTGACGCTTCAACAAGATCAACAAAGTTGACAAACCTTTACCTAATGGACCAAGAAAAAAAGAAGACTCAAATTACTAAAATCAGAAATGCAAGTGGGGATATTACTACCAATTTTACCAAAATGAAAAGGATTTTAAGAGAGTATTGTCAACAAGCATATGCCAACAAATTGGATAACCTAGAGGAAATGGACAAATTTCTAGAAACACAAAACTTACCAAGACTGTCTCACAAAGAAATAGAAAATATGAATAGACCTATAACTAGTTAAAGAGATTGAATAATCAGTAATCAAAATTTTCCCAGTGAGGGGAAAAAAGCCTGCATCTGACAGTTTCACTGAATTCTACCATTTAAAGAACTAGTGCTGATCTTTCTCAAACTTTTCTCAAAAATTGAAGAGGAAGGAATACACCCTAACTCATTCTGTAAGGTGAGATTACCCTGATACCAAAGCCAAAGACACTACAAGAAAAGAATGCTATATATAGACTGTTATCCCTTATGAACACTGATTCAAAAATCCTCAAGAAAATACTAACAAACCAAATTCAGCAGCATATTAAAAGGACTGTTCAGCATGACTAAACAGGGTTTATTCCTGGAATGCAAGGATACTTTAACATATGAAAACTTATCAATGCAATACACTAAATCAATAGGAAGGAAAAAAACCACATGATCACCTCAATTGATGCAGAAGAGGCATTTGACAAAACCCAATACCCCTTCATGAAATTCAAAAATTTTAAAAACTCAACAAATTAGGCATAGAAAGAAACTACCTCAACATAATAAAAGCCATCTAGGAAAAACCTACAGCTAACATCATACTCAATGGTGACACACTGAAAGTACCTCCTCTAAGGGCAGGAACAAGGCAAGGATGTCTGCTTTCACCACTTTTATTACTTTTATTCAACATAGTATTGAAAGTTCTGGCCAGAGCAATTAAGCAAGAAGAAATAATGGAAGGCATCTAAATTGGAAAGGAAGAAGTAAAATTATCTCTTTACAGATGCTATCTTATAATTAAAAACCCTGAAGATTCCACTAAAAACCTGTTTGAACTAATAAATTAATGCAGCAAAGTATCAGGATACAAAATCAACACACAAAACAGTTGCATTTCTATACACAAATAATGATCAGAAAAAGAAATTACAAAAACAATTCCACGTACAGCATCAAAAAGAATAGAATTCCTAAGAACTAACCAAGGAGGTGAAAGAGCTGTACAATGAAAATCAGAAAACACTGCTAAAAGAAATTAAAGATGACATAAATAGAAACACACCCCTTGTTCATGGATCAGAAGACTTTAAATTATTAAAATGTCAGTACTACCCAGAGAAATCTATGGATTTAATTTTGCTTTTTGTTAGCAAAATTGCAATGACATTTTTTGCAGAAATAGAAAAAATCATTCTAAAATTCACATGGAATCTCAAGGAACCCTGAATGCCAAAATAGTCTTGAAAAAGAACAAAACTGGAGGGCTCACACTTTCTGATATCAAAACTTACTACACAGCTACAGTAACCAAAACAGTGTGGTGCTGGCATAAAGACAGACATACTGACCAACAGACTAGAACAGACAGCCCATGAATTAATCTTTGCATATACGGTCAAATGATTTTTGATAAGGGTGCCAACATATTTTCCCCAACATATTTGGGAAAA